ATTTACACGCAGAGCTATGTTGTTGCAGAGGTGTTAAACTTCGGCAGCAGAAAACAGCGCTCAGCCCAACGTACATTTATTGGCACCCAACTCTCATCTGTGGCGCTTTAAAGCTCGTCTCTACCCAGCAGCCACACCCCGGTAACCGTCCGGACCGACGGCCTTGACAAGCTGGATATATCCGATGCTGTGTGTGTGTTCCACCGCACGCGGTAATTCTGCTTCCCTATCCATCCCTCCTCCTTCCTTCCTCTTCAAAAAAGTCATATGATGAGGGTGACATGCAATCCTGTAGGCTGCGTTGGCTAACTCGGTTCGCTGTCTACCAAACAAGGCCGAGACCCACATTGCAGTTCGGCAACCGTCTGGAGTATACAAACTGCCATATCTTTACGAAACAGCCCTATTTACGGATAGTACCGCTTGCTTCCTAACGCGAGGAGAGGCTAAAAAGGTGCCCTAAACAAATGCTGGATCTAAATCATCTACAGGTATGCCGCGACTCGTCAACGCGAATCTCGCGGCCGAAATACTAACAACAACCACAATAGCAACAACCCGTCCCCAACTCCCTTCCAATCACACAGGCTGTTACGTTGGATCCGTTCACTCTAGCAGCCCGGAATGCTCGTTTCCTTTTAGACAACCTGGGGCACAACCGGCCGGAACGGAGGACGCCACTGGTCGTTGGAGAACCGGCGTGCTGCAGGGTGGACATCGCTGCCCCCAACAAGATCCACTTCGCGAACAGGACATGCTGGAGTATTTGGGTGACTGCTATACCTTCCTTTCGAGGGGCCGCCCAAAGACGGAGTGAGGCGACAATGGTGTCGCTTTTGCTCCCCGAAGCGACATGGGAGTGTGGCATCCAGGCAGTGAGTGTACTCAGTTCGCTACATTACTCTGTACAGAATTCACTCTATGCATAATTGAGCTATAGAAAATGGGTACCATTTCAGTTATCTAAAGGAGACGTAGCGATTACCAACATTCGCGTGCAACGGACTTGGGACAAATTGTTGAAGGAGCCCGTTGGAGAACTATCTAAACCGATGTCCATGCCCTCCCAAGTCTCGTCTGAAGCAGGCTATTGCCGGCCGACTGGAACTCTGCACGGATTACACCAGTTTACGAAGGCGGTAGTAAGGTCTTGGCAAAAAAACTGCAGACCAATCGGCCTTACTTCAATTTGCTGCAAAATTCTCAAGTAAATAAACCAGAATAAATGCGCTTCCTAAAGCAGTATAATATGCCACGCGACGCCCAGCACGGATTCCGTAGAGGCTAATTGTGCGTGACAAACCTACTTTATTGTTTAGAACGCTGAAACCGGGCAGTTGATGGAGAGAATGCAGTGCACGCAGTCTACGTATACATTAAGGAAGCATTAGATAGTGTAGGACATCAGCTTCTCCTGGAAAAATTAAGCCGAAGAGGCATTAGCGGTAATCTAGGATGGATTCAAAGCTTCTTGATCGGTCTCTTAAAATGTCCACGTCGGTGACAGGCAGTCGGTGGAGCTAGCAGTTGGAAGCGGTATTCCTCAAGGCTCCGTCCTTGGCCCTACCCTGTTGATTATATACATCAACGACTGCGTCAGTAAACTGAACTGTGAGGGCGCCAATTTCGCCTATGATGCTAAGCTTTGGAGCGTCATCCGAGCTGAATTTGATGAAGAACGCTCGCAGGTAAACCTGACCCGACTCGAGAAATGGTCGCAGGACTGACTTTTTCGCTTAATGTAACTAAGTACAACATCCTGCGAGTCGGCGGAACCCGATCTCCTAGCCGCAGGGTTCAGCACCTAAACGGCTTACCAATGTAGAAGGTGGACGCTCAGGTGGACTTGGGTGTGTGGATCACACCTTCACATAAACCGTCGCTCCACTGCTCCAAGTTAGCCAAGTCCGCCATGTCAGCCCTTTAGCTTGTCAAGCGTCCTTTCACTACCTTCGATGAGGACTGCTTCGTTTAAGTCTTTCGGAAGTTTGTGCGACCACAGTTATACCTCGTTATTCAGGTGTGGAAAACCTGGACCGCTAAGGACATCAGCATCCTTCGCGGGCAACCAAACACGTTTGCAGACAGGGTTCACTATCCGACAAAACACGGCTACCCAATCTCGGTCTTTTTCCTCTGAGTTACAGACAGATAAGAGGCGACCTTCTACAAATAGTCCGTATCATATGAGGCCAGGAGTGCTGTCCTTTACCTGGAGACATCCTCAAATAAGTTATCACAACGAACCTGTGAGAGCATCCAATCAAGCTACGTGTGACTTGCGTCAGACCGGACACACGGAAGCTCTTCTTTTTCAGCAGAGTGGTCGAGGCTTGGAATGCTCTCTCTGCAGATATCTTCGTGTCCACATCCGTTCAGGCATTTAGCGCAAGCTGGATCAACATACGGCTACACATCATAGTGCCACCCGGCCGATATCTTCTTAGCCTATCGTTCTGAGAGTTTATTACTTTCATGATATTACTGTCTACATTTCGGTAACGACTGTTTTTAATTCAAATTTTCCAGGCCCATTAAATGTGAATGTAGACATTCACTTAGTCTCCCGCAGTTAACTGGGATCGTACCAATGTTCTACAACATAACTATGCGCAGACTGACTACTGCACAGTGTATTCAGTAATGTTAATGCATTTAACACCTGAATAATTCGTTTAACTGTCCGGTTTATAAAATAACTCTGTAGCTGTTTGTTTTCCCCATTTTCAAATTTTTGATATAATTCGCTTCCTTGTAACATATAGGGAGTTCAAAGGCTTAACACCTAAGCTTCCATCTACTAAGATGAACTGAACTTAACCATCAGGCCAAATGCCGGGTTGTAGGAAAGGACAGAAGTCATTATAACGAAGGGTTTTATGCATACAGAACCCTGGGTTGTCCTGTCAGGCGACAGTGGCCGCTGCCGAAGCCAAGGCTAGTGTTGACTGCGTCCAGTCATTCCTGAGAATCTGTGAGGCAGTGGTGGCAGCTCCTTTTGTATGCTTGTGGGTAAGCCTGAAGTGGTGTCTCGATGGTGTGCGTTGATTTGTCGAGGGGTGCTGCTTAAGTGGTTTGTGCGGTCCTACTGAGCATGGGCAACTGCAACTCTGTAGATGCACGTGTTTTCAAGTTTAAGTCGGTCGAGTGGCTGCAATCCAACGCGTCTGGAACCGCTCGCTGTGAAGGTGAATGACCTTGGGGTAACGGGACCTTGAACAGGAACGACATGCGTGGCCATGATGGCTGTCGGCAAAGGGACTACTGACCCGTCCTGCGCAGCGCATCAACGACCATCTCATGACCTTGTCTTTGCCTCTTCGGAATGAAAACTTCGCTATCTTCAGCGTCTACGTCCTCCCCTTAACTACCAGCCCTCAGAAGGCAAGGAACAAATTCTACGAGGGCTTGCACGCCATTCTGGCGACCGTACCGAAGGCGGACAATGTGGCTGAACATGGTGACTTAATTGATAGCGTCGACATTAGGCACACGGTCTGGGAGGGAGCGCTGGCTCCCCATGGACCCGACGGCTGCAACAACCGCGGCCTCCTCATTCTGCGAACCTGCGCAGAACACCTGCCTGCCGTTGCAGTGGAAGTGGGAACGATGGGTTCGCTCCGATTCTCTAATGTCATTTTAAACTGAAGCGCGGACGGTAGCATAAGGAGTGTTTGTCGGAGAACTGGGTCTGGAGAACATACGAAATTATTCATGTCCGTAACTTTCCAACAAATGTGCAACCTACCTTGCTATTTGGAGAAATGGGCTCAAAAATCTGTCCGACTGGAAGCACCGACGAGGAGCTTGGAATGATCCAGGACTTACTTCGTAAGGACGAGTATCCGGACACATGTATTGCAAAGAATATTACTGACAGACTCACAAAACCCATCACACCGACGGCAGAAAGGAAAACTATTTATTTAAGCTCTTTTTCAAAGGGATGCAGTGAGTGAACTTCAGATAAAACGCTTTGACCAGGTTGTTTCAATAAACTTCCCAGCGGCACGAGTTTGAGTATCGTTCTCGTTCAACTCTGTTCTAAACGTAGCGGGTGAGAAAATGTTGCCAGTTTAGACCACCTACATGTGTAGTTACTCCTTTAAATGTACCTATGGAGCTGCTTGTATTAGTCGCGCGAGTAGGCGCCTATTCAGAAAAATATGGAAAGACCTCCCGGTGAAATTAAAAGAAGGAAGAGTGCCATTCTCGCGGAAATTGTCTATTTTTGTCATTGTTTGAACCCTAACGCAGCCCTCTGTGTTAGCTGCAAGATCCCACCAAACTATCCTATACCATTGGTCCAGTACATGCTAGCAACGGTAGAAGGAGCTGCCATCAGGTTACGAAAGTTGGTATTGTGCACACAGACGGGCCTGGTGCAAGCTCCATACCCACGGTGTCCAGTTGTCGGTTAACTGCACTCATCCCTCCGCGCCATCCCCCCTTCCCCCCGCCCGCCTGACACTCACTACTTCTTATTGCCTCTTGAACCCGCCCTGTACACAAGGACGAACTGTGATCGATTTCTCCTATCGCTTCCACGTTCTGTTTGTACCCCGTTCCGGTTTATCGGTCCGATGAGAATTTATCGAAACTGGTCATCTAATTCTTTCCATGGGAGTTTTTGCAACTCTAAAATACTGTTCTGTTGAATTTGCCTGCTCCGACTTTATAAATTAATGGGTCCAGCGGCTGGAAGCACTGCAGAATCCAGATGGCAACGCCACCGTGGCGCCAATTGCGAAAAGCCACCCACTTCATTGCCCTGGATATCCTCGATCGCCCACAGCACTAACACCAGAACTGGCTTGACAGTAGCGACGGCGGGATGAGTAGACTGCTACGCTGATGCCGACGATGCGGCCTTCTTCAGGTGTCGTTGCCTTGTGCAACAGCGACTGCGGGCGATGCAGGACGCCCGGATGGACCACAGGGCCGAGGGAGTCTACGGGTGCGTGGACCGCAAATAAACGAATAACTCCTTCGCATCAAACATGAAGGTCTACGGTGCCACATTCGAAGTAACCGCACCGGTGCCCAGTTCCGGCGGGACAACCTTACTGACAGCGCCGCCGTCAACCACCGCTACCCTCGTCGTCCTTGTCTCAGCCTTCGCGACGACGGCTGCCACCTGCCCCACCCAGCCACTGGCCGAAACACCCCCGACGCCTCGTCAGTCACAACCTTCGTCCTCTTCACCCCCACCACCAGCGACGTAGACTCGACTCCAACCTGCCCTCATTGCGATCGCACATTCACCCCTCGCATCGGCCTGGCTGGTTATTTATGAATCCATCGCACCGTGATCATCGAACCAATGCCAGGAACCCCGGCATACTCTCGTCGCATCGGCGCCCACTGTCCGCACTACCCGCGCACATCCACCCATCGCATGGCCCTGTTTTGGTCACACGCCTATATGAGGCGGAGGAATTCATCGCAATGTCGGCATGCCAGACACACCTTACACGCCCGACAACTATCCCATCACTAGGACTACTAACTCCTCATCCACCAGTGAGGCCATCACCAGCAGCATCACCACCGTAGCCGACTCTGTAGCCCCAAAACTTTCGCGTCCATATTGTCACCACAAGCGTCGGCCTGATCGGTCACTTGTGAATTCTCACACAGGGACTTGCGAACCAGTGTCTGGAACGCTAGCATACACCCGTCCAACATCATAGGCCGCAGACAAGTACTAGGCATTCTTTACGTAAATTGGGCACAGGGGGCTTCGACAACGGGATTGCGCACATGAACCTCTGGCAGTCTAAAAGATTGCGCTGGAGTCGGCGCATCTGCGCACAGATCACGGCAGTGTCAGGAAAAATACCTTTTAGACGTAGTCGGGCAGCGTGGTCATCACAGCAGATCCGACCGCCTCCCACAACGCCTGCCAATGAAAAGGCAAAGGGCAACCCCGGGGAGTTCGAACATCGCATACCCCGTGCTTACACCCCGTCGGGTGGAAGGACAATCCAATTATCAGAGCATGTCCTCCATGTGCATAAATGCCTTACGGGGTAAAAACCTTCAAGTAACTATAACACCGCGTTAGGCCGGGAAACAAACGACATCCGACAACCAAAATGTACACGGATGGCGCTGCGGACGCCAGACGCGGCCGGTCAGAAATATAAACAAGAAATCTAGCAGGTTCACAGGGGCCTTGGAAATGTCCTAACTTTTAGATTCCATCGGAGGGCATCCCTGCGAAGCGTCCTAGACAATCGACAAAGATGTCGTTACGGGGTGCACGAAGACACAACAGGCGAGGAAACGGTCGAGGGTTTAGTACGACGGCACATCAGACTGAAGGCCTCTGTGCGCCGTGAACTCGGTGTTCGGAATGCCGTGGCGGCGATCAGGCCCGCGTGGGCGCACACAACACCGTCAAATCCGCATGACGTACAGCGAAACCCAGGTCACGAGTCCTAAGGCGTTCCAAAACACAGATCGCCACCCTGCCGATACATCCCAAACTTCAAGCGCCGACAGCAGCAGAGCGTCATGGCTCAGCCCTCGCATAAGTGGGGCTAGCCGGACCGCTTAAGTGGGGCGCCCTTGAGTGGCCTCCCACACGCACGCCCAAACAGCCCTTAACTCGACGACAGGAACCCTATGTCACCGAAAAGGACCAGAGCGCCTCGAAGGACCAGACGTCTCGAACTGTTCAGTTTTGTTGAAAAGGTTAG